CCGGACACACCGAAAAAAACCAAGTTGTTTCTCCGACTCCGATTTTCCATGTCGTCTTTATCTTTTACAAGCGAAACAATCATTTTCTGCAATCTTTCCAGCTTTGGGTTGACGCCTGTTGGATTGTCTAATTCACCGCTACGAACACGATTTAGACTTTCGACATTAGATCTTATACAATACACTTCTGTTTTCAACTTTTCCAATTCTGTGATACGATCCGAGTCGATCTTCATTTCTTGACGCATATCATAAATATCTTCCTCTATGTTGTTTAGCCGGGTCTGCATGCCATCTAATTTTGTATTCATAACTTTGGAATCCGACAACAACGTGTCTAACTTATGATGCAAACTTGCAATGTCTTCTTTCGTAACGCTACTGTCATCAGATGATCTTAGCTTTGGGGGACCAGGATTCTGTTCAACGCTGGGGATATAAAGTCAAAGTAGAAGATTTCAGATAGACACATTTATTAAAACAAGACATGCAAATCATTATCCTGATGAAATCTTTTTTAGAGGTAAATATTTGAAAGGAGGAAATCAGAGATGAACAACTTTCAATCAACTGTTCTGAAATATACAAGATAACAATGTCAGCAAAGTTGTAATTACAAAATTAAGTTTAATATTACAATAAAAATTTATTTACAGGAAAAATAAATTTCCTTGAATTGGCAAACGAGTATCAGTTTTGCCATGCCAACTCATACATAAATAAAAATCTATTTTAAACTGAAAACTGGAATTTCAGAGAAAGTAAAAATGACAAAAATAAAAAGTAAACCACACAAACGTATAGTGTTTTACTGTCTATTTCCTGACAGAGAAACAAACTAAAAGACTATAAATGAACTGAAAATTTAACAAAACAGTTTCTAGGGAATGCCCATCTACAATGCGGCAGTGATATTTATGGCAGCTTTAAACAAACATTGCACAAAATGTCAACAGTTTGAGCAGAATGTCTATATACAATATGAAAGTGATATTCATGACAATTTTAGAATACTCCTATAAAATCAGAAAGTGACATTAGCAAGGTCAGCAAACTTACAATTTAGGTGGTTATATATATTTAGAATTTGATACAAATAAGCTGCTCTCTGATTGGCTCAACCGTTAAGTGGTAAGGGTTGGGTAGCCAATCAGGCAAGATATTATAATTAGTTTTGCATTGACTCAGTTACGACTATGAATAGAATATATTTATCCTAGTATCCAAAGCCTGAACTTGAACCCATAAAATACATTTTTGATTTGATTTTACAGATATGTAATCAATATTGGTTTTGATAAGTGCTACACAAATGCAATTCACCACATACCGGTACAGAACATTGATATCAATGACAACACATCTCCTGAAAAAGGGGCATCAATAGACGAGGGGATTAACACATCTATTCAATAAGGGTTGCGTCTTGCACATGCAGAAAAGACCACTTATTACTAACATATTAATTATATTGTGCAATATACATTGCTTGGGAGAAATGATCTTGATGGTTTTGGTGCTGAAAGTAATCCAGGACGACGACCACTACCATTACCACCTCTTGAAGAGTTGCTGTAAATTAAAAAAAAAAAACATATTAGAGAGACTGTTGACTCAAACTGTTCAAGCAATCTGAACCACACTAAGCACAAAATAAATACATTTCATGACACACAGTCCCTGTTGTAATTAGGAGAAATGTTATTCATGCCTAAGATAAAGTAATATGACCAAAAAGATCTTGCATTCGATCACAAATTGAATTGTTATGCACATGTATTGCTACATGAAACAATCAAATTGTAATTGTATATGAAAATCACTGGTCATGTGAACAGGTAAATTGTTTTTGAAATGAAATTTTGCTGCCCCATGTCATGTATCACTTAAATTTGATAGTTTTAAAGAATTTTAAGAAAAATATCCCGGTGAAAAAACAAATGAAGAGCACTAGAGTACCTACATACCTAGGTATGAAATCAATCAGAATGGAGTTTAGAAAGTTAGGATATTGGAATCTAAAATCCAATTTCATACAACTTTAAAGCATAATCACCACCATACACCTGACCAACAATTTTCTGGTTAGTACTGCTTAGTAATGAAGTTACCTGTATTCATGATTGATTGTACTGGATGTTGGGACTGACCGTCTCTTCTTTGCCTTACCAGTGGCACCACTCTGAGATTTTCTTTTTCTGGACTTCGTAGTAGAAGCATAATCTGTCCTCTCATCACTTCTTATTGCTGGCAAAAGCAAACAATAGTATTTTAAGGACATGTTACTTGGTATGCATTGATTAATCAACCAACATAAATTATGGGTCACATAAGTTTGAAGTTAAGCATGACAAGTTCAGGAAGAGCAGCCAAGATAAACTCAGTCAACTTTATGTGTTTCTTTTGAAAACTTTAATTAAAGCAAAGGGTCTCCACCTATGCACCTAAACGACTATAACAACGCATGCAAAAAACAGAGGCTCATGGGGAGATGCTTGTTTG